ATATATGCATGGGCGATTCTCTACCGCCTTAATAAAATTTATAGTAAACAGAGGATCTTCATTATTATTAGTCATTTTTATTGAATAATGTTTTTATTAATTTTCTCACACAGAATTTCTTGTTCGAACACTATATATTCACACAGACTTACTCGTTCCAACGCGCAACAATAACTGCAAAAAGACACGCATAGGATACCGCATGCAGTTTATGTCGTGAGACATGTGCATCCGCTGCACTGGTCTGAGATAGTTTTAACGACATGCACGTGTTTTAAATGGTTTCAAGCTGCGCAAGTCTATGCGCGGTATTTACATCGTGTTGTATGTTGCATGCTGCATGTTTGATGCATCCTTGGTGTGCGACCGGCCTAACACGCACATACGTGTTTGTCGTGATGTTCGATCGTGTTTCCAGCTTTAGGCAGGGCGAACGTTGAGACGCAGTGTGACGTGTGGTGACGCAGGGTGAAGTGACGCGCATGGGCGAAGTGAACTGCCTGCGCGTGTACGTGCGAACAATGAAACGCAGTACACGCAGTGTCTGGTCACGCAATTCTATGATGTATACATTGTGTAATTTGTCAACGTTCGCCCTGCCTAATGGTAGACAGCAACACATTTTCCGTGACATTTTCGATTGCGACTAAAACTTCCCACCGAAAATTCAAAAATTGTACATTACCAAGAAGAAATGACTTGGCGCGTGTGTAGGGTGAAAGTTACTTTCAGTTACCTAAGGCATGGCAGTTCACTTGACAGTTGTGGTGCTTGCTAGAACTGATAATGTAGGGCGGGTTTAAGTAGATTTCATTAAACTCTTTCTAATTAACTTTGTTGCAGTACTTACCGAAGCAGTTTCTAGGAATTCTTAGAAGAATTCATAGCCATGTACCTATTCGAAATGTAGATAACAACAAAATTCATCTTGATAACATAATATGGCATTAACATACATATACCTGCCGGTTACCATACCTACTTACAATAGGTAAGCAAAAGCAGGTAAGCTAAATTATCATCAA